CCCTAGCCAGCAAATGCGGTATACTCAATGCTGGTCACAGGTGCTGGCGAAACGTTAGGAAACAAAACTTCAAGAACACGGCCACACAGCCCAGAAGACCCACACCAGCCATCGTATGCCGGCCATGAAAGCCTCCGACAATACAAAATCTGTGTGGTTGCTAACAGTTGACAATAATTTGATGTCATGTAATCCTCAATCGATCATATCCTAAGTCCCTTAGATTTGTTTCCAACAATATTGCTTTTATAAAGGAAAACCATGGGTATATCATAGTGTTTTTTCTCTATATGTGTCAGCCCTTTGAGGTAGTCCAGACAGGAAACCAAAGCCATGAATACTAATACTACTTTTATTGTAAGATTACAGTAACAGAATCTTGCAAGTCTGAAAGCCCTTACCCCCTCCCTTGCCTATTTTCCAGAGAACTGGGGAAGGTCCCTTCTGAGATGCTTTCCCCCCCGCATCCCTCCTTTGGACTCAGGTGTCTCTTATCAGACCATTGTCTAGGTTGCGGCTCTTCCCCTTGTCTCCCAAGGTTATTCTCACAGCCCCTTACAATATGGTATAATATAACAGATCCACCCTTGCTTTATTTCATACTGTTATACATAGTACAATATTTTGAAGTGGAGATGCTACATGGGTTTTTAACTTTTGTATTACCAATGGAGAAAGCATCTTATAGGGAATTGTTTTATTTATAATGAGAAATGGACTTAAGGCTGGAATCTTACACACTTATCTAGAAACAGGTACTACAGAAATTGGTTGAGCTTATTTCTAGGTTGATGGGTACAGAATTGCACTATAAACTACTGAGAAGTATTATGGTTAGAAGTTGGAAATTTATTCAAGTGATGTAATTATAAGAACTAACCTTTTATGGATTAGAATGCACATGTAATAGTTTGCTTTCATACCCTAGGAAGTTATATCTTCAGGAAGTGCTGCCATGTATATGTAAATAGGGCATTATCCTTATATAATTAAGTCAGATGAAACTTGCCAAGTCAAGAGCAAGCATTGAGTACTAATGATTTAGAATTTAAATTGTTTAAAAAAATCCGAAGTGGTTCACATACTTTTATTCACCAATTATGCCAGTAACTTTAAAAGTTTTCAATTTGCACAGACTTCTTTAGTCAAGGAAGAGTTCTTTAAAGACTTGTTACTCTGACAGTTCATATGTTAAAATTATCCCACCAGGGGTCTTCAGTTTTTTTTGGGCTGGAGTACATTTGGAATTTTGAGAACAGTATGCTCCATATGTCTCTGTTGATCTCTCCCCTTCTTTCCTGGGTAGGAGGAAACACTTTCAAACAAAACATTGGGCACTAGCTATCCATCATTTTTTATGTTCTGAGTAATTGTATGATGACCATTTGAGATCCAGAGGTATAAGTGGAAATAAAGATGATGCTGATGATTCATATTTTGTATAAAAGTTTGTAGTTTCCATTTTTTTCTAAAAATAAAATATTTTAAAAAACAAATAGTGAGGTGGAGCAGGGGTCTGGCAATGTAATGGGCTGTCAGGCAACTACCAAGAAAGGGGTCTGCAAGCTTGTTAGCATTTCTGGGTGCTTAGTTAGGCCCCTCAGTTTTCCTTCAGGATCATCATGGAATTATAGTTTCTTTGAAACCTGCAAGGAAATGTCAAGCAAATGGACATTGGCTCTATCTTCCTTCATATGCAGGGCTATGACTTCAGCTGACCTAAACCAGGATGGATACGATGACCTGGTAGTTGGAGCACCAGGTTATAGCCTGCTTGGACACTTTCAGTTGGGACGTGTGTATATTGTTTATGGTAATAAATTGGGTTTGCCTCATTCCAACCTGAACCTTGATCAAGAAGCAGATGAAATACTAGAAGGCCTTAAGGTAGCAAAACAAGTCGAACATTGATAATGAAATATATTTTGTTTGTATTTTGGATCACTAGTTCCATTTATTATTTTCTACAGTAATTTCATTAATATGGTTTGTGTCATAAGTAACTAGACTGTTGTCTGAGCCTTTCCTTCTAGATGTGTGGAAACTATAACAACCAGACTTTCCAGCCACTGTGGCCTCTGTATGCTCCAAGTCATCTAGAGGGCACCAGGTTGAGGAAGGCTGTTTATTAATTGCTGCTGAAATCAAATAATTGGGAGACCTAAGTCAGGTTCACAAAAGATACCACTTCCCACATAAAAGGCTTTGGTCATTATTTGTGTCTTTTACATGGCTTATTCAGGCAGTACTTTTAATTTATAAATAATTTCATAGAAATAAAATGAACAGCATAACTTAATGAATAGAAGTGTTAGGAGCAGACTCATGAGGATTGACAGTTTAGGTAAAGTCTATATATGGTTGGGAAACAAATGAGATGTTGTTCCCCTGGGAATTGTGAATAGAGTTCACTGGTGATTTGAATTTTAAATTTGTAGTAAGGAATAAAAGGACTTAAATTTGAAGAAACAAAACTTAACAGATGGCACTGTTAAGTTTCATGCAGCATCAACCAAATCCATTTTAGCTCTCACGCTTCCTGCTTGATGAGTTAATAAAGAATAACTTGTCATAACTAGTTATTATTGAAATAGTATTAAAAAAGTAGCAGTGCCCAACTTGTGTATTGTCTGAATGTGTCTTCGTTTTAAAATAGCTCAGGTCTCAAGAAATGTATGTGTGTGTGTGCACCTAAATGCCTATATGTATATATCTAATGTATATGTCTCTGTCTGTCTGTCTGTCTG